CACATGCATTCTGCAGCTAAGAAGGTTGCATGCTGCAACTGAAGATCCCGCATGCCACACCTAAACATGCTGCAGAGAAGATCCCGCGTGCTGCAACAGAGACCCGGCGCAGCCAAAATACATACATACATACATACATAAATATTTTTAAAAGGACTATTAAAAAAAAAGAAGAGGGCCTTGCAGGGCTGTGATGTTATATAACAAAGGAAATAAGGAAATGAACTCAGTTACAGAGTGCCAATAATGTGTAAGGAACTGAGTTTGACATACGTCAGTCATTTAATCCTTGCACTAACCTTAAAGGCAGGTGTTCTGACCTCACCCACTTTTTTTACATGTGAATAAACTGAGTGACATAAACAAAATATGACTTGCTCATGATGTACAGCTAGTAAGTGGCCCAGAGGATCTTTCCAAGCACCACACATTGTTTGCTATGTATCTGTCATAGCTATAGCAATTCCATAAAATTCCCATTACTTTTAGCAAAAGGATTCAATGAGGGGGACTGAGGAGCAGAGATGGCCTAAGCAAGGGGGATTACCACCCAGGCCCAGGCATCCTGAGACTGTTCTGGATCTGCAGGGAGAAGAGTCTGCAGATATATGGCCCCTCTGAGTCAAGAGCAATGTGGGCCTGCAATGGTTAAAAAATGAGGACTTGGGCTTCCCTGGTGGCGCAGTGGTTGGGAGTCCGCCTGCCGATGCAGGGGACACGGGTTCGTGCCCCGGTCTGGGAAGATCCCATGTGCCGCGGAGCGGCTGGGCCTGTGAGCCATGGCCGCTGGGCCTGCGCGTCCGGAGCCTGTGCTCCGCAGCGGGAGAGGCCACAGCGGGAGAGGCCACAGCAGTGAGAGGCCCGCGTACTGCAAAAAAAAAAAAATGAGGACTTGCTAGACTTCCCTAGTGGTCCATTGGTTAAGACTCCGTGCTTCCACTGTAGGGAGTATGGGTTCGATCCCTGGTCAATCCCTGGTCCAGGAAATTCCACATGCCGCATGGGGTGGCCAGGGGAAAAAAAGAGGACTTGCTAAAACAGGGTTACAAATATTGCAGCATATTTTAACTGATTACCGTCAACAAGATCATGCTTTTAACATGCAGAGGGACTTCCCTGGTGGTGCAGTGGTTAAGGATCCACCTGCTAATGCAGGGGACACGGGTTCGAGCCCTGGTCTGGGAAGATCCCACATGTCGCGGAGCAACTAAGCCCATGAGCCACAACTACTGAGCCCGTGTGCCACAACTACTGAAGCCTGCACGCCTAGAGCCCGTGCTCCGCAACAAGTGAAGCCACCGCAGTGGGAAGCCCGCACACTGCAACAAAGAGTAGCCCCTGCTCACTGCAACTAGAGAAAGTCCGCATGCAGCAACAAAGACCCAAAGCAGCCAAAAATAAATAAAATAAGTAATAAAATTTAAAAAACATGCAGAATACACAGCAATATAATTTACATAAAATTATTAAATTCATAGCATACCACAGGGGGAGTGGTCTGATGATGGGACCAGTTTCACAGATGTGAGGGACTTCTTTCTAGCCTGTGTTTCTGTGTCTGAATGTATGACTTCATGTGGCCCTAACACAGAAAGTCTACATTTGAGGCCCTCAGTACATATAAATAAAGATAAAGATGGTAAATATATGTGGTACTTGCTGGCTGCTGCCCTGAGTTCCATATGTACACTGGCTAAGACCCTTAGAACAGCCCCATGATATTGGCATTACTGTTTCCATGTGATGGAGGAAGAAACAGTGAATCAGGGAGGTTGACTGAGTTACCCAAGGTCTTCTAACTAGTGAGTGGTGGTGTGGGGATCTGAACCTAGACAATCTGGCTAGATTTTTAATCTTAATTCTTATGCTATACTGCCTGGTCTAGGCCAGGCCTTGGCCACGGGCTGTCCCAGGTGGTTTTTCCCAAGGGCTCTTTCCTGGCACTGTCATGTTGATACAACCTTCTCCAGGCTGTGGAGGATCTTAGGGCTGCTATTTCCTGGTTCTCATGGGATCTGCTACCTCCAAGGCTGGCACCCAAGGACTGACTGAGGACCGGAATGAGGGAGAGTCAGAGAGTGAGGAGGATCAGAGTGCATGGGTGAATGTTGACCTCAAGACTGGAAAGGACTGGGAGTTCCATGATGGTCTAGTGGTTAGGATTTGGCACTTTCACTGCTGTGGCCTGGGTTCAATCCCTCGGAACTGAGATCCCGCAAGCCACGCGGCATGGCAAAAAAATAAGAAGACTGGAAAGGACTGTAGGTCTCAGGGTTCTGGCCCATGTCACCTGCATAAAGTCCCTCCACTAGCCCCACCTTTGCCTCCTTTTTTCTACACTGAACCTGTGGTGTTTTGAAAGAGCTCTGGATTAAGATGTTAGAAAACTGACTTAAGTCCTGGATCTGTTACCTAATAGCTGTGTGATCTTGGCCAAATGGCTTTATGTCTCTGAGTCCTCAGTTTTTTCATCTGTAAAATGGAAATGAGAATAATAGCTACTATTTATTGAGCACCAGGACTTGGATCATTGATAAACCTGGGCCCTTGGTTGTAAACTATTAAGGACACTTGGGGCACTTGGTTGTAAACTATTAAGGACCGAACCATGTGAGGCATAATGTCATTGTTCTGATCCTTGTCCTAAATGCTTTTCCTCTCTTTGGTTATTTCCATTATAGCTGATGTTCTCCTTTCATCTGCGCTAGGTGACACAAGGCCCTTGGATTTCTCTGAAGGCTTTTCTAGGCTCTTCTGTCATCTCCCAAATGGCTGGACCTGTGCCAGGAGAATGTGAAATACAGAGAATTCAGTTTAATGTTGGCACCTTCAGTCACAATCACATCACTCTAATAGCATTTGAATATACTTTTATGTGAAGGGAGAGCATATCTCATGAAAAGTACACAGATCATGAGTGCTCAATGAGTTATCACAGAACAGCTACATCTGTGTAACCTTTGTAACCACCACCCAGTAAAGAAAGAGAACATTATCAGCACCCTAGAAGCCCTTGTTGTGTCCACTTTGTGCCCCCTCCTAACCACTGCCACCTCCTTCCTCCCCATGTCTATGTCTGTGTTGCCAAAGCCCATCACAAAGCCTTGTCAAGAGGCCCATAAATAGTTGCTAAACTGAACTAAACCCTTTGACATCATTTTGTGATCTCAAGCTAGTCACTTGGACTTCCTCTGCCTTGATTCACTCTTCTGCAAAACAAGGGTGGCATTTCAGTAATCTCAATAATTCTCAACCCTAGTTGAGAATCACCTTGGGAAACTTTTGAAGAACTATCCATCTTGCTTGGGCACTACCCTGGAGGAAGTGGATACAAACCTCTGAAGCTCCCAGTCAATGATAGTGTTTAAAAGCTTTCCAAGGATTCCAGTGTATGGTCATGGTCTCTCAAATCTTACAAATTCCAACAACACTATATGTTCAAATCTCAGTTCCACTGCTGCTGTGGGTTGAATTGTGTCCTCCACAAAGATGTTGAAGTTCTAACCCCCAGCACCTGTGAATGTGGACTTATTTGGAAATAGGGTTATTGAAAATGATCGAGTTAAGATGAGGTCATTGGGGTGGGCCCTTAATCCAGTGTGACTGGAAACCTTATAAAAAGGGGAAATCTGGACCCAGAGACAGAGACACAGGGAGATCACCACGTGAAGACTGGAGTTATCAAGGAGCACCAAAGATTGTTGGCAAACCACCAGAAGCTAGGAGAGACGCATGGAACAGATTTTTCCTCACAGCCCTCAGAAGGAACCAACTCTGCTGACACCATGACTTCAGACTTCTAGCCTCCAGGATATGAGACAGTAAATTTCTGTTCTTTAAGCCACCCAGTTTGTGGTACTTTGTTACAGTAACCCTACCAAACCGATATAACTATTTACATACTAGTTAAGGAACTCTCTTTACCTGTTTCCTCATCTGCAAAAGTGGAACCATAATAATTGTTCTATATGCTGGGCTCCATTCTAAACACTTTACATAGATTATCTCATTTAGTCATCACATATACTATACTACAGCAGAGCAGCTGATATAGGTACTCCCGTTATCCCCACTTTTTCAGATGAGAAAACTGTGCAACAGAGAGGTTAAGTAATTTGCTCAAGATAACATGGTAACTAAATGTATAAGATAATAATACATCCTTCACAAGATTATTGGGGAGTCTCCATGAGACTGTGGATGTGGATGTGGATGTGAAGGCGCTTTGTAAATAGCAGAGCATTTTACTCATGTTAGTCAGAATCTCTGTAGATTCCAGACTTTTTTTTTTGCCATCTGACTCTCCCTTCTCTTTCGACGCGATACTTCCTTTCCTCGGAGACAGGGGTCGCTGCGTTGAGCGGGCGCTGACAGGTCCTTCTAGCCCGCTGCACCGGCTGCTCGCTGGTGCCTATAAGTGGCAGCGCCGGGCTCAGAAAGGCATCAGTCCGTCGCCGCCGGGGCTGGGGTCGGGGCTGCAACTGGGAGTAGAGCTGGACGCGGAGGACCTGAAGCTGGGCCAGGGCGTAGCGCAGCACGGCGCCGGGGCCGCAAGGAGGGGCGTTTCGCTGCTGGCCCACCGCGAGCCGCCCTCAGCGCGCGCCAAGGCGCCCTCTCGCCAGGCCGCCTGCCTCCGCCTTCCGCCTCCTTCCATTTCCCCGGAATCTCAGCCCGGCGCGCCTGCACCCGGTCCTTCTTTGGGTGGGGAAACTCCCGGCCACTTTCTGGCTTCACTTCCTCGCAGCCTGGGCTCTCAGCCCCCTCTCTTCTTCTCCTGGACTGGGTCTCACCCCCTTCGATCCCCTTCCTTTAGCTCAGGCTCCCTGCCCCTTACCTTAGCCGAGTCCCAGCTCATCAGTCACTTTCCGCAGCCGAGGGTCCCCACCCTCCCTTTTCCTTTTCCTTGCCTGGGATCCAACCCATCCTGTCCCTTCCTCTGTCCGTAGGGTGCAGTCTCTCCCCTCCCCCACCCCCTTTCCCAGGCCTGGAGTTCCAGACCTTTTGGTCTTCTCTTACGGTCCTGAGTCCTTGTTCCTCTTCCCCAGTTTGGAGCTCTAGATCGTGAACCCAGCCTTCCTCCACTTCCAGAGGACTGCTTCCACAAAAACACATCTCTAAAACATGAACTTTGATTAGTGACTCCCCCAGTCTCTCTTCCCCCTCTGCTGACCCCCTGCCACCTATGTCCCAGGTCTTACTCTCACTCTGCTAAGGGTCGAGGGTGGCAGCAGGATGCTTCTCTGGTCTGGTGTCTGTGGCCTCTCTCCGCCTCGAATCTTCCCTTCGCTGCTCGTGGCAGTAGCCTTGGTGGGGCTGCTACCCGTTCTTAGAAGCCATGGCCTCCAGCCCAGCCCTACTGCCAGCACCATCAGAGGCTCAGAGCCGCCACGGGAACGCTCCATTGGGGAGGTCACCACCGCCCCACCGGAGCTTGCCCCCGAGAGCCGCCCTGTTAACCATTCCTTCACTGAACACAGCCTGAAATCTCGAAAGGCCTTTCCAGTCCTGGGCATCGACTACACACACGTGCGCACACCCTTCGAAATCTCCCTCTGGATCCTGCTGGCCTGCCTTATGAAGATAGGTAAGTGAAGTTCGCCCCCAACACTTCCGCCGCCACCAAACTAATGAGCTTCTTGAACCATCCTTACCACTTGAGGCTGCCTAGGAATAAAGGTCTGGACAACTCCTGTAAAGTAGGCAGCCTCTATCCCATCATCGTGGTCCTTCTCAAACTGGAGCTCTGTGGCCTCTGTGGTCTGAGGCCTCCTAAGATTGGAGCCAGCGTTGTTCATGGGAGAGAGCAGGACCAGAGGATGGGATGCTTCAGGTACTAGGTACCTTCAGCGAGGCTTCCAGGCCTGGCAAGTCTCCTCTGGCTGGGACAGACCCCGAGGGGAGCCAGGCACCCAGCTGTGTGAGACAGGAGCGTCTTCAGCAAGTGGCACAGTCCGCTCTGTCAACAGCGACCAGTGTAATTACATGCTTCATGGGAGGGTGTTCCAGGATGGAGGCTGTTTCTACTTGGTTTGTCTAAGGAGTTTGAGTGTAGTGGGGGACCTGTGTGCTGGAGACTTACAGGTGTGGTGGAAGATGAGGCATCCCCATATCCTCACCTTCCTTCATCCCCGGAGTGTTATCTGTCAGCTTTGCCTGCCCAGGCTGGTCAGGAGCCCCTGAGTCAGTTTCCTGCCTGGGAATGACATTCCTTATACAGTTTATGGGACAGGGGCCTTGGGAATTCCTGAAGTCTGGTTTGGGGGTGGAGGGAGAGTGGAGGAGGGTCGAGCTTGGTCTGGCCCCAGCTCATCTCCAGGTTGCACCCAGCTGTGTCTGAAGGTGCTGTCATGTTGGCCTGCCTGCTGCTCATCCAAGAGGGAGAGGGACAGGTGGAGGAGCTCAGCGTGTTCTGATCTGAAGAGACTTTGAAACGTTCTTTTTGGGAGAAGGAAACAGAAAAGTTGTTCCCTTCCAGAGGATTATCACCCTGCTAGGCCTGAGCACTCTGTTCTACTGGGTGATTGATGGAGCTCACCAGTGCCTGCATAGCCCAGAAGCCCCTTGAAGTGGTGTCCGGGGGGCAGGGGGTGAGGGGGGTTGAAAGCTGCCTTTGCTTTTCTAGCCCCCAGCTAGCTGTGGAAGGCACGGGGGCCTGGAACTCTGCTGGTTTGGGTTTGGAGAGTTTGTGACTCTTGGCAGGAAGCCTTGCAGCTTTCCCAAGGACATGCAGGAGCTCAGTGGTGATGCCAGGCTGGTATGAGGCAGGCTCTGGGACATGCTGCAGGAGGGCACTCGTGCTTCTGTTTTGATCCAGGAGCTGGCTTCCTGATACGGGGCTTTGGTGCTGTGACAGTAGCAGGCCTGCACATGGAGCTGGGCCACCAGCACCTATCCCCTGATGGCAGCCAGCTTCCCGGAAAAAAATCGAGGCCTGGGCAAAGGGAGCCATGTGTACTGATTCTGACAAATACATGACCTTGAACAAGCTGGGGCCTTTTTCTGCAGGTCTCGCCCACCTGTGAAACTGGCAAGAATCTCTAAATTTTACCATATCAGTTGAATCATGTAACCCTGTGTCTTAATTTGTTGGTAAGAAGCTGAAGTGACTGATGTGTCATTTGCCTGTGTGAGACCAGGAAGAGCACTATTTATAAGCACTATTTATAAATTGCCCTCCTCTTTCCAACCCCCTCACCTGGCATTGTGTTAGGGCATTAGAGGCTAATGCACACACTGTGGGTCTCAGTGCCTTCTGGTGGGTCAACAGCATGACCACAAAGATCCTACTCTGGATAGTCAGGAGTTTGTCTCTGCAGAGGCCTGATTACCTCTAATCCTAATGGGGTCAGGCTTGGCCTGCTTTGTCCCCGCCAAAACTGTGCCCGGGACCCTGGTCAGCTGGCAGAGGTGGTGCCATGACAAGGGTATCAGTCTAGAAGTTAGGAAACTTGGCCTCTTATACCACCTCCCTCTGTGACCTTGGGCCAGTCCTGCCTCTCCACTTGTCAGTTGATCTTTGTGGCCTCTTGCAGGTCTGACATTTCTGCCATTCCACTGACTTGGGTAACCCTGGCAAGTCACTCACCCTTGGGCCACAGTTTTCTCATCGTAAAGTGAGGAGGCAGGATATGATCTCCAAGGGCATTTGTAGTTCCAAGAGACTGTGTCTCTGGCTTGATAGGGCAATTTTCTGCCTCTGAAAACAGGAGTGCCCTAGCATCTGGCCATCCTGGGAAGAGGGTAGAGAGAAAGATGGCCAAAAGATCTTAAGGGTCCCAGTTCAGGTGGCAAAAAGTGAAAGCCCATTTTTCCCTTTACCTTGCAGTGTTTTGTTTGTTTGTTTTGTTTTGTTTTTTTGTTTTGGCTACGTAGCTTGCGGGACCTCAGTTCCCCAACCAGGGATTGAACCTGGGCTGCGGCAGTTGAAAGCCCCAAATTCTAACCACTAGGCCACCGGGGAACTTCCCCTTTGCAGTGTTGAATTGAGGTTGGCACCACTCTGCCACTTACCCTCTCTGAGCCTCAGTTTCCTCAAATATAAAAAGGGGGAAATAATAGTATCTAGCTATAATGCTGCTGGCGTGATGATGACAGAAATTAACGCACATAAAGCTGGCTTTGTACCTATAGGAAGCACTCAGTGAGTTGCAGCTGCTCCTGTTGGTATTTTAACCACCTAAGGTAAATGCATCCCTACCTCAGCCCCTCCTACAGTCTTCCTCTGAGGCTGGAGGATTACAAATCTCTCAACCTAGGCTGCCATCAGCAGTCCTTCCCTAAGGTTTCAGGAAGGACTGAAAGTCAGTCCTACTGACTTTGTTCTTCCTTCACTTAAGCTGCCTCCAGAGCAGGTCCTGTGGGGAGGGGACATGGCACCAACCGACTTGGGGGATGGGGTGTGTGCCGAGGCCATGCTCCCTCTGTACTATCAGTTACCTATCTATTCTCAGACCCCAGCATGGGCAGGAGCTCATTCAGCATGTTGGAGGCCTCATTCTGTCATCTGGGGCAGCTGCTTCCCTTGCAAGTTACCCCTCCTTTAAAAATAGAAGGTGCTGTGTGCAGTTCTCACTCCTGTCCTAATCGTTGAGCAGAGCCTCAGGTAGATACTGTCGGAGATGCATGTGGGAAGGGTGGGGTGAGAGCTGAAGTTCTAGAGTAGGTGCTTCTGGATTCTTTTCTCCGTGACTTAGTGGGTCACATTAGGCAAGTCACTTCCCGTCTCTGGGCCTTTTTTCTCTCTCTGACAGCCAGGGATTCTTGCCTTTTCCTTAGTGAGGAGGGGCTCGTGACGTGAGTTGGGGTTAGACTATTGGGAGAACTCTGAGAATGACTCCAAGCCTTAGGTAGGCCCATTCCCCTCCCCCACCTCCGCCTCACATTATGGTTTGGACCCTGCATGAATTCCGTGTTGTCCCTGTTTACCTGGCTCTCAGTCCAGTGCCTGTTTCAAGGGAGAGCCTCACTGTAACCCAGCTCACCACTGGCACCCCCTGCGTTTGTTTACGCATATCCCGGACCCGGAACTCCTGGCAGCCTGTGAAGCAGGTATTCATCTCGTCTCCTGACCAGAGACAAAAAAACCTTCCTTTGTCCCTTCACATCTTATAACTTTTTCTGGTTTTGGTGTTTGCAAGGTGTGTTCTGCCATTTCCTCCTTGGAGCAAGTCTGTGAGGAGGGGAGATGGGGATCATTATGGCCCACTTCACGTGCGTGGGTATCAGACCCAGCAACTGGTTTCCTGTGTAAGACTAGAACTCGCCTCTCTCACTTCTCAGAAGGAGAGAGGAACAACTTAAAGGTCACCTTGAAACTGTCTCTAGAAGCCCAGATGGAACTCTCCAAAAAGAAAAAGGTGACCTTTTCCTCTTTGGGAAAACAGCTGAGTGAGTGCAGGATAGTGGGAGGGGAGGTCATCTGGGGACTGGGAAGAAGGTTCAGGTAGGACATGTGTGTCCTGAGGCTCCAGGACACTTAGAGGGCCCCTGGTGGTCATATCGCCTGGACTTCATTCAGCTGAACACCCATGAGGTGCACCCTGCCTCTCCTTCCCGCCCCACCTAGCCCCTCCAGCTCTGGTGGGAAGGACAGATGTTGTCACAAAAGCCTGGGCTCTGCCCCTGCCCCTCGGTACCTGTGTGACCAGGCCCCTGGTTTCTCTGAACCTGACTTGCCTCATCGGGAAGGTAAGGATGCCACCTCTACCTTCCAGGATTGATGTAGAGACCAAACGTGGGAATGCTAGCACAGAGCCCAACGTGCTGTGGCAGCTTTCAGGGCCTGTTCAGATTCCTCCACTTTGGGCGGTCTTCCCAGCCCACTCCAGCCCACAGCCATTGCTTTCATTTCTCCCCTAAAACCGTATCCCTTATTGTTTGTCCACAACTTTGGCATTAGGCCTAGCCTGCCCTGTGACATCTCTTCTGTTGGGGGGGGGGGGTGTGTGTTTTAGTAAGAATTACCATTTATTGAGTATCTACAGAGTGGTGTCAGGCACTTTATAAAAGTAATCTCATTTAATTCCTACTATCATCCTATGAGATAAAGGCTCTCTGTCTCACAGATGAGGAAACAGCCCAAAGGGGTTATCTGCTGTGATGCTGAATTGCCATTTATCTTCTGTTTGAGCCTTGGCACAGTCTCCTCTCAGGGTGCAGCTGCATCTCCTGCCCCTCACGTCCTCCTCAGCAGATGCCTGGGCCCCTGCATGGGGTGGGTGCCCAGCTCACTGCACCTGCCTTCCGGGATTTTAGGACTCCCTCTGGGGGCTGGCACTTGTTGATGGTGGAAGCCCTCTCCCTGCCCTGAGAAAGCTGTAGGGGTTCTGTGCCGGCTTTGGGCCCATCCTCTGTTCCTGTGAGTCCACATATGTGTACCTGAATCCCGCAGCCAGGCTGGGCCTATCCCTTATCCTCTGCTAGTGACCCTGCCTGCCATCTCTTTGCTCTCTCAGTGGTCTGACTGAGCTTGCTTCTTCCCTGCTTGGGCAGGGGAATGCCACTTAAAGAGTAGTTTCCTTTGCCCAGCAGGGGATGGCTAACCTTGTGATTACCATCTCCTGCTTCTGGGCTGGAAGGGTACTG